GGCCGGTGCCTCGATAGGCCGGTGCCTTGATAGGCCGGTGCCTCGATAGGCCGATGCCACGATAGGACGATGCCTCGATATGGCCGAGTTCATGCATCGGAACTGAGATTAGTCGAAGGCTTCGATAGCATTATTGTAATAGGCTTCGTTTAGCAATGAAACATTACCAGTGATCGTAAAATAGGTCCGTGATTGACCTTATATATATAAAATGATAAAAAGCTGAAGCCAGGCGACTTTTCAGAAGAGCCACGAAAGGCATAGATATGACATTAAGATGATTACAACCAGGAAAGCTACGATATGCATTTATGAACAAAGGCCGCGATCAGCCATAAAATATTTGTCTTTAGGGTTCCAATCATGAAAGCTTGTTCGATAGCGATGCCTCGATAGGCCGATGCCTCGATAGGCCGATGCCTCGATAGGCCGATGCCTCGATAGGCCGATGCCTCGATAGGCCGATGCCTCGATAGGCCGATGCCTCGATAGGCCGATGCCTCGATAGGCCGATGCCTCGATAGGCCGATGCCACGATAGGCCGATGCCTCGATAGGCCGATGCCTCGATAGGCCGATAGCCCGATGCCTCGATAGCCCGATGCCTCAATAGGCCGATGCCTCAATATGGCCGAGTTCATGCATCAAAACTGAGATTAGTCGAAGGCTTCGATAGCATTAATGTAATAGGCGTCGTTTAGCAATGAAACATTACCAGTGATCGTAAAATAGGTCCATGATTGACCTTACATATATGATGATAGAAAGCTGAAGCCAAGGCGACTTTTCAGAAGAGCCATGATAGGCATAGATATGACATTAAGATAATTACAATCAGGAAAGCTAAGATATGCGTTTATGAACGAAGGCCGCGATCGACCATGAAATATTTGGCTTAGAGTACAATCATGAAAGCTTGTTTAATAGTGAAGCCTAGATAGGCTGATGCCTCGATTGGCTGAGTTCATGCATCAGAACTGAGATTAGTCGAAAGCTTCGATAGCAATAATGTAATAGGCTACGTTTAGCCATGAAACGATACCAGTATTCGTAAAATAGGTCCATGATTGACCTTATATTTATTATGATAAAAGCTGAAGCCAGGAAGACTTTTCCGAGGAGCCACAATAGGCAGAGATATAACGTTAAGATGATTCGTCCAGGAAAGCTACGATATGCATTTATGAACGAAGCCCGCGATCAGCCATGAAATATTTGGCTTTGGATTACAATCGTGAAAGCTCACACAAGTTATGCCTCGATAGGCAGAATTTGTGCGTCGAGAACGAAATCAAGTCGAAAGCTTCGACAACATAATGAAGTAGCCCAAGATTGGTCATAAAATGGCAGTAATCGTAGAATTTCAGAAGCTGTGATAGGCTTAAAAATATTGCAGCAATCAGAACCAAAAGTTACGATAGACATAAGCAAGGATACGAATAGCCTTGGAGCGTTGTTATTATGGTATTTTCAAAGCTATTCTTCATTAATCAATTATGGGATGAGTTGATGGTAAAGAACGAAATAAAGAAGGCCACGATTGACTGCGTGTAACTAAACAGATTAGCAGTGAAAAGCGGACGTATGATAGATGTATGGATTGTTAACCACCACCAGTATCTAGCGAAGAAATTTACCTCGAATGTCGGTTGAGAGGGCTTGTTGAGCATTTAGTAGAACATACGTGTCGGATCTGATGTAGGTCTTGTATGCTGTGGACGACCATCTACCAAGCATTTGGATAGGGGAGTCGGGAACGCTGCATTCGGCTACTGTTGTTGTGGCTCCGATACGAAAGGAATACCCAGTGTATATATGTGGAGAAAGACCGGAGAATTAGGGAGGAAGCTACATGAGTTCAAAACCAGTGCTTTGTCATTGGAAGACCGTTCGCTTATATGTAAAAAAGGGAGTATTGAAGTGTGGTCATGCTTTGAGATATGACCAAAGAAGTATAGGGGCAATAGGAATTATAGACTTTAGATATAACAACGCCAGAGACTCCAGAAGAATCTGTTTTCGAAAACTTAAATACATTTAAAAGGTGGGAAAAAGACGTAAATCGGAAATAGACAAGCCACGAGCCAAATTAAAATGTTTTGAAACAGATGCGAATTCCCCTGATCAAATAACCTGTAAAACACGGTTAGAAACGCTTTTTCTTGGATGCATGAGCCATGCACGCTGTTAAAACATGGCTTTATGTATTATTATTTTTGTAATATTTTTTTATATATATATATATATATATATATATATATATATATATATATATATATATATATATATATATATTTGAACTATTAATTGCTGTTGATTTATGATCGAATAAGAGATAGTTTATTTACAGAAAACGAGCTGAGATTAAATAGTGTGCCCCCTTTTATTAGTTGAAGTCTGCAATCATCAAGGTATAAGTCGAGATCTTTCCGGCGCTCGGGAAGTGATTGAAAAAACATCTCTATAAATGCATTACCGGAACAATAACACATTCAGAGAAGGGCGTAAAACAAGTTGAATAGCCTTAATAGGTACTGCTCCTTTAAGATGGAAAGCAATTCGTCTCGTCTCTCACAATAGTGAGTGAGCAGATGAGGAGCGCGAGCTGTAATATATGGCATATACATATGCGATCTAATAACAAAGTTACTCTTAAGCTTGATTAAATTCTATTCAGCAACCCAGTTGATAGTATTTTGCAACTGGCCGTGAGTGCGTGACGATGTAGTTAACGTTACGTGAATCTTTGCATACACTTACCATTTCAATGAGCTATTCGGCCCACTGTTTACGGTTTAAAGCGTTGCAGTATGTTGCGTTGCAGACTGCAGTATCGGCAGTTATTTTAAAGCTACCACATCACCACATATGAACTTCACGTCTTGAAGGGAACAGAAGAGTAGCAAGTTAATATACTTACCTGAATGAAGTTTAATCGTAGTAAAAGGGGAACTTTTTGAAAAACACTGAGTGGAGATCGACTCTCATGAGATTTAAAGCTGCCACACGTTTGTTTCTTACACAAGTGTGTCGCACTCGCGCATCGCGAAAGTTGCTGAGATCGAAATCAACGATGTGACTTGTGTTGTTATGTTTGGTATCGAAACGCGAGTAAGTGAACGCCAGCGCCTGTTTCTGCGAACTGAATGGAAACGTAATTGGCATCGAAAACTTTGCTACGACACCTGCGGGCAACAACATGGAACGGTAGGATCAGTCTTTTATATTCAATGTCGAGCTGTGATTGGTTGCGTGGAATTATAAATTAGTGACGTGCAATGGAGTCTTTCTGGTAGAACTTACGCTTAAGCTTTCATTTTTGGGTGAACTATCCCTTTAAATCTCATGTTTAACCACTAGACTAGAGACATCAGAGCCATTGGCAAACGTCAGAAGGACTAGCTGAGGAAAGGCTGTTCCAGGCGGGGTACATGAGCGCTGAGCCCCCGGTGATCGCCTGGATCTCACAACTCCGAAAACGTCAGATCAAATGTTTAAAAAGGCGCTATCTTTATAAATAAACCACAACTAGAACTACATTATAGACTGAAAAACTCTTAAAACCACATATCGTGACACAATAAGTAATATTTTTTAATTTCGCGGCCTTTCTCCTCTCCTATTGACCAGAGATAACATGTTAACGTGATCAAAAATGGAATGACGAACCCCAACAGGATCTCAAGAAGCAAAACAGCCACTTCTAGACTGTGACTCCATTGTCCTCTGACATCTTTGCAATCCATTCTTGTCTTTGAGTCTTTGAGTGAAAAGTATTGGTAGAGCAAAAACAAAGGCTAGAATCCAGATGCCAGTCAGATGAAGGCGTCTGTGTCGTCTTTCCAGTCTGTGCAGTAGCTTCCTGTTAGTGACCCTTGACTTGATGACATTGTGATAACGGTGCACACTCATGGAGGTGACCGTCAGGACGCCGACATACAGACTCCAGTGACCCAAGAAGAACAGGATCCTACAAGACCAAAGGCCACGTTTCCATCCAAACAGTATTCCACACAGCACGACAGGAGCCAAGCAAAGGGTCAAAGCATCAGAGGCCACACGGTTTAGCATTAGACTTACGGTAAAGCTCAAATTTATGTTCCAGTCACGAGCAATGCTGATGATTACTGTGATATTGCTTGGCAAACCCACCAAACAGCACAAACCCAGAACTACAGCAGGAGCAATCTGTTCTGAACCCACAGCAGTGCTGTTAGATGTGGAATTGAACCCTAATCTTAGCTCCATCATCAAATGTTCATGTCTGGAAAATGCTGAATCTAAGTTATGACTGCTTGAAGAACAGGGGCTATGTTGACTCCTCCCTCTTCTGTAAACCAAAACTTTGCTCTTATCTCAATCAAGAAAAAAAATATAACTCATTAAAGCTCCCCTTTGACTCGCTATATATATATATTCTTCTCAAATAAACAATGGAATTAAAAAAACAAAACAGAGACAACATTATAAACTCACACTTCACCCTTAAAATCATAATTTGATGCAACTTTAAACATGCATTATTTTGTTTATTGGGTGTAATTGAATAGGTTAACATTTTCCACATACTGTACATTATTGCAGGTTGGTAATCAATGGTATGGTTTGTTGAAGCCTTCTGGTTGCATTATTTGAGCTTATTTAGAAAAATTATTCAAATTAATTTGAAAAATGTGTGTTTCACACATTTCTTTCTCTTCCGTTCTTCCTTTTACTCTTAATGTAGCCACTTTTAAGCTGCAAACATTTACTTCATAAGCATATTTTTTAAATAAATTTTTTTAAAAAATAGTTTTTTCCAAGGCTCATATTACCAAAATATAGAATTCTGGTAATCCATACTCTGGGATACTTTGGTCTCTCATGAGACCAAATCAATCATTTTGGATCATGTAAGAATGAATGCATGTATGAAATGCAGTCAGATGAATGTTGAATATTGTTTCTCCATCAACAGCATGTTTTCATCTACTGCAAAACACACAAGAACAGCAGGGAGAATTATTTCTTTCTGATACATTTTAGAATGTTTCCTGAAGAGACGGCATAAAGAAAAGGATCCAGACAGCAGTTTAGCAAAACCAGAGTCTTGCTTGTATCACCATAAACTCTACGGAAGGATATCAGTCGGGCATAAACATCTGGATGAGAAGTTTTAGTCAGAGTAGTAACTATATCAATCACATTAATGATGTGCACAGGAGTCCAAAACAGAAAGAAAGCCACAACGATGCTGACCACAAGTCTCTTCTTGTAAGTCTTAACGTTTGCCCCCTGATTTCTGGGTTTCTGGTCCTGTGGAACTGTAGTTAGATTGAAGCTCTTGGCTTTTTGGCTCAAGCCTTTGTGCAACCAGAGATAACATGTTAACATGATCAAAAATGGAATGACGAACCCCAACAGGATCTCAAGAAGCAAAGCAGCCACTACTATAGGCCGTGACTCCATTGACCTCTGACATCTTTGCAATCCATCCTTGTTTTTGAGTCCTTGAGTGAAAAATATTGGCAGGGCAAAAACAAAGGCTAGAATCCAGATGCCAGTCAGATGAAGGCGTCTGTGTTGTCTTTCCAGTCTGTGCAGTAGCTTCCTGTTAGTGACCCTTGACTTGATGACATTGTGATAGCGCTGCACACTCATGGAGGTGACCGTCAGGACACCAACATACAGACTCCAGTGACCCAAGAAGAACAGGATCCTACAAGACCAAAGGCCAAGTTTCCATCCAAACAGTATTCCACACAGCACGACAGGAGCCAAGCAAAGGGTCAAAGCATCAGAGACAGCAAGGTTTAGCATTAAACTTAAGGTAAAGCTAAAATTTGTGTTCCACTCACGAGCAATGCGGATTATTACTGCGATGTTGCTTGGCAAACCCACCAAACAGCACAAACCCAGAACTACAGCTGGAGCAATCTGTTCTGAACCCACAGCAGTGCTGTTAGATTTGGAATTGAAGCCTAATTTTAGCTCCATCATCAAATGTTCATGTCTGGGAAATGCTGAATCTGAGCAATGACTGCTTGAAGAACAGGGGATATGTTGACTCCTACTTCTATAAACCAAAACCACAGCTTTGTTCTCATCTCAATCTTCCCAAAAACAAGGTGCTTAGAAATACACAAAGGCCGCTCCCATTTGAGTCACTATTGAAACGTGTAGTTCTATGTCTGTTTAGTTTCATAGTGTTTTGGTTCTGTTTTCCCTGTTCTGCTTTGGTTTCCATTAGTTTCCCCAGTTCCTAAAATTAAGATATGTCATGCATTTTAGTCTAGGCTTAAAGGCCAAAAATGAAAATTAGTTCATGATTTACTCACCCTGAAGCCATCCTAGGTGTATTTGATATTCTTCTTTCAGACAAATACAATACAATCCAATTCAGTTGCAGATATCCACTATGTGAATTACGGATATCTGCAACTGAATTGTAGATATCTGTAATTCCAGTTTGAAATATCTACAATTTGATTCTGACTAGTACTAACTCCAGTTCAAGATATCTTTAATTCACCTCAATTCAAGATATCTACATGTTCCTTTTCAGATATCTTAAATTAAGTTTTGACTAGGCGAAATTATGTTGTAGATATCTGCAACTGGAATTATGACTAGTCAAAATGGCATTGTAGATATCTCAAACTGGAATTAGGGATAGTCATAATTTAATTGTAGATTTCTATTATCAATTTATAGATATCTTAAAATGAATTTTGATTAGAGATATCTGAAATTTGAGATATCTGTAACTTTCATTCTGCCTAGTCAAAATGTAATTACAGATATCTTGAATTAGAGTTTTGACTGCGAAATGACGTTGCAGATATCTGTATGCAAATTAGGCCCGCATCCCACTTTAGGCGGGAGCAGAGCGTGTTGTTCAAATCATCAAATCACATAGCACCTGTTAACTGTTATCTTTTTATTAGCACTGATTAGCACCATGTCGGAGCAGCCAGAGTGCAAACGAGTTTTTAATGCTGTTAGCTCATCATGGCTTTTTACTGTGGGGAAAAAAAATAATCTGAACTAAGAACTGTTTTTTCTCATCTAAGGAAGTTAATGTTATTGCACTTCCTTGGCAATAATTGCATGCATGTAAGCATCTTTATTAAAGTGAATTAGTGTGAATCTCTCTCACACATAAATATTTAGTCAACAATAACCTACTAATTTTAAGCATGATCATAAACATAGAAATGCATGGCAAACGTTGCATGTTGCCAATATTTTTGAGAGACCCCCATGCTAATGCTAATGCAGGGTTGCCAACTCTCACGCATCTGGCGTGACACTCACGCTCTCTAGAGAGAACCGAGGTTACGTTAGTAACCGATAGGGTTGGGTATCGGTTGGGTTTTATCTGATGATACCAGTACCTACTCGGTATTTTTTTAAACGGTTCCGGTGCTTAAACGGTTCTTGAAACGGTACTTAAGAAAACAAAACCGCACACACTTTATAAAAAAATAATACCCTTTTATTTACAGGGCCAAACTGGACACAATATTAACTTAAATCTTTAAACAATATAAATACAAATAATAATAAAACCAATATAAAATAAAAATGTACATAATATCAAATAAAACAATATTGTATCAAACAATGTAATAATACTGGAGATTAATAGAGATTACTAGCAGGCAGAGCTGCCAACTCTCACGCATTGACCGTGAGACTCACGCAATTGACCCTTTTCACACGCTCTCACGCACGCCACACATCCATTTTCTCACGCAGAGAAAAATCGCGGACAAAGAGGACACTGACACCGACAGACAATGTTACTTTTGATATGGAACAAATCCACAGCTGTCAGATTCTGTCAATATTTTTACGAGATTCACACAATAAATAACGTTTTGGCTCTTTGAAATGTGACAGATCTCTGTAGCGCGTCAGTTCAAACGGCACGTGATACAGCAGCAAATCCACTGCTTCTTAGCTACGCAGCGTTGAGTGAACCTATGAAAGAGAACATCTCTGGTTACTGGTCTAACCTATGTTCTCTCAATAGGGAACGAGACGCTGCCAAGCTCCTTGCGCTGCCGACCAGCTTCCTTTTTCGGCAAAGAAATCTGAGGAGCAGATGGCGCGCGCGCCAACATAATATGATGACGTAGGCGGCGCCCGCACCATCAGCCAATGAATTGGCTTGATTCTATATGGATTCAGACTATCGGCACACCCAGAGGGCGTTCTGACGCGTAATTTTACACGTGAAATGCAGCCAAACCTTGCGAGCAAGAGCGCGCATGCGAGACAGAAGAGACTGTGCGTGTGTGTGTGTGTGCAGGTGTGCCTAATTAAGTCAGGCACCGAAATCAGGCACCGAAATTGTCGTTCTTATTCGGTCTGGTTACTACCGTTTGCGTCGGAACCGGTTCCCTATTGGCACCGAGTTTCGGGACCCAACCCTAGTAACCGAGTACGTTCTCTTACGAGAGGTTCTCTCGTACTGCGTAATATCTTACGCTAGGGGAACACAATGCAAAACGCCGTGCGTGCTGGGATCCGACACCAAAGTCCCAAGGGCATGTGCCCGGGGCTCATCCATAATTGACCCCCATGCTAATGCTAATGCAGGGTTGCCAACTCTCACGCATCTGGCGTGACACTCACGCTTTCAGTATTAATCTCACGCTCTCACGCACACGCAAGAAATGTCACGCCAAAATCCATTTTCTCCCCTCTCAATCCGTAAATTTTGTGTTGATGACTAGACCACAGAGTATTAATGATAGGAGAGGAGTTTAAGGCCCGCAGCTGTAACATCTGCCTACAGCGTTCTCACGGCAGTATTCTCTGATCGTTGATTCGCTGGAAACCTCCTCACACCGCTATGACGCATGGTTCTGCGGTTCTGCAGTTAGACCTATCTCGAAAACCTTGCACCTGATACGTCAGTTGCGTGTGAAAAGTTCAGAGAGAGTTCAGAGCATAGGTTCGGAGTCGGAGCCCACTGATGCACGTTTGAAAGTTTGGATGATAATCAAGGTAAGCAGATAATAAAATGGTGTGCCTTCCTTGTCACTCGTAGCCTTGCCTTATCAGTCTGTGCCGAGAGTAAGTTATACTGCAGACTTCAACTATAGTTGCAAACGTCTGACGTAAGTTATGTGGGCTAGCTAATTGCTCAATAAAAATAGGCTCATGGTACAAATTACGTTTTGGCAAATCGGGCAAGTGGCATTTTAAAATTCCCCAAATTATCAAAGGTTGTCCAGATTGTGTTGAGCCTGCCACACTCAAATGCGGACGCTGAGCGAACCTTCTCAGTTATTGGCCTAAACAAGACCGACACCACAGACTGTCACTTGATGGCACACTGTGATGGGAAGTTCGGATCATTTTACCGACTCGCTTGTCCGATCTCGTTCATTAAAATGAACGAATCTTTTTTCGAGTCATTTCGTTCATTTAAAGGGCTTTAAATGTTATACTTTTAACAGCCAAATTCCCCAAACACATCCACCTACGCAGTCTTTATCATATTCTGAATTAAGAAATCATTATAATGCAGTCAAAAATAATTTACAGGGAACATAAATAATTACTTTACCTTCCGAGTCTTTCGTTCATTTGTCACGTGACAGACGCAATGAACGGATTGTTCATGAACGGATCGAACCCTGCTTCAGATACAGAGCCTCTCCAGAGGCAGTGAAGCAGCCCAAACTGCCACTGTGGCATATATAACAGGCCTAATTTGTGAAACTTGTGTGTTGTGGTTTTCTGGGGAGGTGGAGTAACTATTATGTGTCCCTTTTGTTTTGAGATTTCTTATTGTTTAGATGTTGTTGTTTTACATGTTTGTTATTTGTTATTTAACCACCTCTATCTTTATTTTTTTTTATAGTGCAATCAATAAATTAATTGTACATTTTGAAAAAAACGTTTCCATTCTATTTTTTTGTTGTTGTTGCATAAATTGAGCGTCAGCGTCAGTTCTGGCAGGCCAGGTAGTCAAGCCGCTGCTTATGCTATTTGCTATCAACACTGTCCCGTCAGCTGATCTGCTCCAGCTGAGCTGTATTAGCTGGTTAACTCCCCTCGCTGCTCAATGGCCAAAGCTCAAACAAGGCGCCCTATTTAAAGGAGCACTTCACCCATTTCAACATTAATCTTTATTGAAAGTGGGTCATATATGTAGTCGAAATGTAAAATAAATTTTGAATTTGGTGCCCTCTTGACCGAGAAAAGACAGAAAATAACTTTAGGGCGCATTTGTGTGTAAGACCACAACTCCCAGAATGCACCACGTTGCACAGCTCCGCGAGCCACTCCCACTAATCCAGAACAGCGCAAAGTCGCAAACATCAGATAAATCACTCTTCCGTCTACTCTACAGGGCTAACGTTAGCTGCCAACAGAGTTAGAAATTCATTTCACACAAAATGTATAGTTAGTTGGCTGTGGCGAGCAGGACGAGGGACGTGAGAGCGGCGCGAGGCCGGTGGCGTGAGTGATAATGAACGACACCTGTGAGACGCACCGGTCTCTCTCGCGTGTCTCACCGAGGAGCGGACGCATAAAACGAGGAGCGACAGGGCAGATCGAGAGAGGAACAGGCCTGATTTTATGGTGTGTTTTGTTTCTGTTGTGTGTGGCCAGCAGTGCGGGGCTGCTGGCTTATACTTTTGTTTTGTATTTGTTTATTTTACTATTAAAATGTTTAAATGTTCGCCGATTCCCGTCTCATTCTTCCCACAACAACGAACCCGACGCAGCCGACGCCGCCGCCTCTTGTTCCTCCATCAGCCTCAGCTGCTCTTCGCTATATTGTGGCTCGTATAAATAGCCACGAACATCAGTTTCGAGCAAAAGATTTTCAAAATCCTCGTCTTCCATATCGTGTGTCGTAAATTCAGGCATTATGGTAAATCTAACTCCTTGAGCGCTTGTTAGCTTAGCTTGCTGTCTTCCAAGCAAGATGGCGGATTAATAGTTTAGTTTCTTCAGGTTTAGTCCCACCC